AGAGAGTGAGTGAGTGAGTGAGTGAGTGTGTGTGTGTGTGTGTGTGGTATGTGGTAATGATGTCTTTGGGAATGCTGAAGTATTCAGGTGTGAATACACTTTCAGATGGTTTGGCAAAAGAAAAGGGTATGTATGTGTGTAGATATGTGTCTGTAAGTTCCTCAAGAGCATTAGATGCTTTGCATATTTGTCCCTCTACCCTACGTCCTCAGGCAGCCCCTGGAACACATAAAAGCACAAAGGACACAATCTGAGCCCTAACCTATAGTAAAGACCCACACTAAACACACATCACATGAAAATTAACTAGAATGGGTACACTAATGAACAGTGCACCTTCCATACCCACATGCTCCATACCTTTAGAGGTATTGGCTGATTCTGACATTAGAATCAACCAGTGAATAACGTGTGGTTTGTGATTCATTCTGCCACCATGGAGCAAAACAATAGTTTTTTTTTAGAACTTTCAGAAGAGCCAAGTATAGATACATAATGATTTTCCATTTGGCATGTGTGAAAAGGTTATTAAAATCACAGGAATGCACTAAGGAGTACAGCTCTTAGATTCATTTAATTCAAATTATGTCCCTAAGTAAAAATGCTAACAAAGCATTTACTGAACAGTCACTGTGGAGAATAAAAGGCATGGGAAGAGGAAAATTTTTTAATAATACTTTATCTACACACACATACATACTTTCCTTTTGCCAAACCATCTGAAAGTGTATTTCACACCTAAATACTTGAGCATGAATGTCCCCCAAACACCCTTAGCATACCAAAGGATATTAACATTACCAAAAGATATTAACATTAACTCAAAAAGTCAAATTCCCCAACTGCCCGCAAAATGCCCTTCAGTGCTCTACTCTTCTGATAGATTCCAATCACTGCTCACATGCTGCATTTGGGCTGTGGGATCTCTTCAGTCTTCCTCAGTGGCCAATATGGAACCTAAGCCAGGTGCCTTGCAGAGTGTTTCACATTTCAGATTCATCTGACTGTTTCCTCACAATTAAGATCACAGTAAAACATGGCTGGCAACAAGAGCACATAGGTGATGTGGAATGTTCTACTGCATTTTATCTAGAGTCACACGAGCCTGATGCTGGGAAAGACTGAAGGCAAGACGAGAAGAGGGTGGCAAAGAATGGGATGGTTAGATAGCATCACTGACTCAATGAACATGAATCTGCACAAATTCCAGGAGATGGTGAAGGACAGGGAAGCCTGGCGTACTACAGTCCACGGGGTTGCGAAGAGTCAAACACAACGTAGCGACTAAACAACACAATATGCTATGCCTCCCATTATTGATGTCAGACTTGACTATTTGATTAAAACTGGTGACAAGTCTCTCCCAGCAAGGGCATTTCTTCTGTGGTTGCACATAACCTGGGGAGTGACACTTTGAGATCACGTGTGCCTCATATTCTCCAACAACTTCCCCCCAGTGGTTTTTGCAACCACTGATGATCCTTGCTTGAATCAATAATTATATTGGGGATTAAAAAATGATAATTTTTTAATTTCACTCATTCCTTCTACATTTATTAGCTGGCATTCTAAAACAAAGAATTATTCCTTGTTTGCTCTCTTCTAAGCATTACTATGGACTCATGGATTTTTTTGGGGGGGTTGATATGTTATAACCCATTACTATCATTTTTCTTTGTGAAAATGGGCCCAAGTTTGAAAGGTTCTCCTTCAGACTACGTCCTGTGGCTATCTGTGCAAACTCTGCTGTCCTCGAACACATCCTTCCTTGGTTCCTGGAACAACAATGCAGACTCCCCTTGAGCTTTCCCTGCCTCAGACCTGGAATTAGCCATTTCTCCAAGGAGTCCAGCTCCAGGTGGGCTCACAGTTTGGGGATATTTTTGCTCCCTTTTGCTGGGCAAAGCAAGGGAAAACCTCATTTTAAATTTTGAGTTAATAATTTAACATTTCCAAATCCAATCTGCTTTCCAGATGCCTCAGCAGGTAAAGAATCTGCCTGCAATGTAGGAGACACAGGCAACCTGGGTTCAATCCCTGGGTCAGGGAAGATCCCCTGAAGGAAGGAAATGGCAACCCATTCTAGTATTCTTTCTTGAGAAATCTCATGGCCAGTGGTGCTGGAGAAGACTCTTGAGTCTTCAAGTCCCCTTGAACTGCAAGGAGATCAAACCAGTCAATTCTAAAGGAAATCAACCCTAAATATTCATTGGAAGGACTGATACTGAAGCTGAAGTTCCAATACTATGGCTACCTCATGTGAAGAGCCGACTCATTGGAAAACACCTTGATGCTGGGAAAGACTGAAGGCAAAAAGAGAAGGGGGCAACAGAGGGTGAGATGGTTGGATAGCATCACCAACTCAATGGACATGAATCTGAGCAAACTCCAGGAGATAGTGAAGGACAGGGAAGCCTGGTGTACTGCAGTCCATGGGGTCACAGAGTCAGACACGACTTAGTGACCTAACAACAACAAAATTCAATCTAATACCACAGTGCTCTTCCTAATTTTTTTCCATTCAATACTGGTATTCCCTTCTCCCACAGAGAAAACACTGGCTTCCAAGTATATCAATTTATTCATTCATTTACTCTATCTTACAATACACATAAAGAGACTTCAGGAGTATAATAATACGATTAGCAACAATAAACCTACTAAGTTCAAGATTTCGTTGTAGCTAATTTTGGCCTCAGTATATTCTACTAAGAATAAAGAGTCAAGAGAAAACTGAGTTCCAAGGTGTTTGAATTAATATTTTTCTGTGTGGTTATACCATCAGTTTCATGTATCATTAGCATCAATTCTTCCTGTTTGTATTCAATATTAGCGTTTGCTTTTTTCTATCCTTTTTGAATTAGTTTTTTTAATATATAAAAGGCAAACCATATAAAAATAAACATTCAGAGTACATCTCATTCCCCATCTAAGCATCCTCTTCAGGTAAACATTTTTATTAGTTTGTTTTTTCCTTCCTGTGGGTTGTCTTATATTTTCACAAAAAATAATACATATTTACATCTTTATATGTAGATGTCCTTACTCCCCGTTCTTTCTTACACAAATAGAGCATGTTATATACTCTCGCACTTTGCAGTTTTCACTTACTAATGTATCCTTACAATTTCTCCATATCAAACCATAGTTTTTTTCTCATTTTCTACAGTTACAAAATACTCTATTATGGTAGATGTGCCATAATTTATTCAACTAATGTTTCTAAAAACATGCAGTTAAGTTATGGTGCTACAGATAAGGTCACAATAAATAACCTTGTATAAGTGTTGTTTTATCACTGTGGAGGTGTGTGTTCAGAGTAAATTTCCACAGTGGGATTGCTGGGTGAACAAGTAAATATGTACCATTGTTATCTCCAGTACTGGCAGCAGGGCCTAGTAGACACTTAATAAACTTTTTCTGATTGAACTGAATCATGACTTTTTCTGAGAGTTTTAAAAACCTTTTGATATTGTTACATCTCTCCTGCTTCTATTTCCTGAGGACACAGACTCTCTCACCAAGTCTCACCCTCTTCACAGAGCATGCATAGGGCCGAGGGCTGAACTCTAAGCATACAGCCCTTAAAGGGTGAACACTGGTCAATGTTTTTGTACTCCTGAGACACAGGAAACTTCTAGGCATCACGTTCAATTACATGAAGGTGAAGAGACTGACTTGAGTCCTATTTTGCACCAAAACCTAAACTGTGCTCATCCAGCAAACATTCATTATGTAGCACCTGTTACAATGCAAATGTTTATTCATGAAACAAAACAACAGTCTACTACACAACCAAGGAAAAAACCAATCATGTATCTCATAATAAAAAGAGGATTTCTAAGATATCAAAGAGCAGATGTATCCAGTAACACTGCTCTGCAGGCCCCTGGCAGCTGTGGATCACTGCCATCTACTGGAACACCTACTTCACACAGCTCACACAGTTTACACTGATTAATAACATAAATTGAACATACAACCTCAAGAGCTCAAGTGTGTAGACGAATACTACAACCATCCTCTATATTCTAAAATCAGTTACTTACCTAGAAAATATTAGATAAAATATGTACATGAAAAATGGGGACTGGAAAATAATGAAAACCATATACTGATAATACTCAAGAAGAAACTATTTGGAATTTTTAAGTTTAATACAGAAACTCTACACTGAATGGTTGGTCAGGTTTACTATTTCATTTACATGTTCAAAATAATGCTTCAATTATACTAAGTTTTATACAATTACATAGCTCCCTTGAATTGCATTTTTTCCTGAGATACCTTTTATTTAGAGTTGTAATTGAAAGCTATGAAGGTATTAAGTATTCTGGTAAACAAAGAGGACTATAATCTTGTTTGTGAATTTGACAAGAAAGTGGTACTCTCAAACCTTGACACTACACTGAGCCTTGACTGCGTGTTTTCCCAGAAAAAACTTTTAATCAATTTCTTTATCAGAAGTAGATTTAAAAGTACTTCCAATGACTATAAAAGAACAATAAATTCCTTTACTGTTTAGTGCAAAGCACGTTTACTAGCCCATATTCACAGTTCCCCAGGTCCTCCAGATACAAAGCTGTGAAAACACCCGCACCAACGATTTGGAAAATAAGACCTCCTCAACATTCTATCAAGACACTTAGAATAAAAAATAAAATGGACATTAAACAATGTTTCAAGGTTTGCCTTTTGTATATTTAAATACATAAATCTAATAGGACTATTAATTAAATATCTTTTATCATATAGGTTACACTGAGAAAGAAAGAATCTATCCAAATAAAGCTGCAAATTTTATGTGATGGGATATATACCTGTGCTAATACAACTCTGAAATTATAATGGAAAAATTACTAATGAGAATGATTAAACTCAGAACTCTACATTTTATACATATTATTTTGCATTTATTTTGCTTTGTATGCATTAACTTTTTTCTTAAGAGTCAACTCAATTTAAAACAAATTTAAATATAAAGAGGTAAGATAAAGTACCTTTCATAGATGGTTTTTAATGTCATTTGATCTGGGATACCTTCAGTCTCTTCCAAATACAATATGAGCCATGAAGTTCTGTACGGCCACTGCTCAGTTAGATTGATCCAGCTAGCAAGCCTATCCCAGTTGAAGCTTATCTGATTGGCTCTCAGTAATCGTCCTTTAAAGAATACAAAAAACATTTTAGAATTAATAGGTGTGTAACGTTATGTTAAGCCAACCATTCTGTATATTCACAAATAACCAACTTTCAGTGTTTTTTAATTTGCCACTTAACTTACACTACAAATTCATACCTAATATTTATATGGCTTCTGGGAGAGGACCAGAGGGATGAGTATAGAGTTTCAGTTTAATGGAATGAAATGCATTATGGAGATGTATGGTGGTGAAGGATACACAAATAGTGAAAGTATTTAATACCACTCAACTGGACCCTGGTTAAGATGGTAAATTTTATGTGTATATCATTTAACACATTAAAAAAAAGAAAAAATATGTAATTTGAAAATTAAAGCAGAATAGCAGCATGTAAAAATCTGAACTTCAACATTTTAAAGAATAAATTAATTATAGTCATACAAATGAGCATAAAATTTTTATACAAAGAGAAAAATTAAACCTGAGGTGAAATTTTTAAATCGTCACATTTTAAAATAATAGTAGACAACTGACTGTCAATTTTCACTATCAAAACTAATACTGGTTTTATTAGACACAGAATGCAAAATAAAACTGGTGTTCAGCGGTGTAAACCTATAAACACACTCCATCCTTTTGTTTCTGGAAGTGAATTGCTCTGTTAATGTTGCACCTTATTGTCTACCACACAACACTAAGACAATGAAACCCACCTGTCACAGAAACAATGTTAAGCAGTCTTCTCATGGTCTGCGGACTTATGTCACTGAACCAGTCCTCCGTAACCAGCAGTTTTGTGAGGTCAAAGGACATCTGCCGGGTTATTGTGCGCTGCATCTGCCTTCTTCGGTAAGTGTCCTGAAAACAGGGTACCATCAGTGAGAACGAACCCTCACTTCAACCCTGAGAACTTGAAGCTTTTTTGAGAAGTTAATACATGTCTATGTCAACAAGAAAAATAATCCAAAATTTCAGTCAAAGAGGAAGATGAAATAGAAACAAAAAGTATTATTACTCCTCCCTGAAGCAGAATATGTACTGAACTCTAAAGTAAGTATTTCCAGCAAATGCATCACAGACTATGGTTTAGCTTTGGGTGTACCTGATTTATAGTTATACAATCAGAGAAAGCCCAATGCCTTGAAAACTACAAATAAGATGAACTATATAAAGAAAATTCAATTCAAACTCTTATGGCAGCTCAGTATTTATAGGAACCCTGATAATAAAGCAAGTAACCCCTTGCCCAGATTTAAGGATTCAGCATTTTGATTTTTAGGTTATTTTCAAACGTGACAATTACTGAAAGGGCACAGCTGCTGTATCCTCATGTCTAGTAAGAATGAAAGGCTCTCTACTGGGCGGGATGAGCAGGGGTCCCATCCAATCAGGAGAAGCAGGCACAACGAGGGTGGTTCTCATCTAAGGTCATGAGACAAGGGAACCCAACAGTCCAGGCTCCCAGGACAGAAATTCTAAACGGCAACTCATATCCCACTCTTAATTTAGAGCTGTCAATTATCCTTCATAATATTATTTCTGCATCCATACTTGAACATGGTAAAGGCATAAGATCAAAATACCTGAAAATAGTTTTTAAAATGTAAAATGTCCCAATTAAAGATTCGCAAACTGGGGGGCGGGGCAGGGCGGGTCAGGTAGTGGGAAATATCACTGATGATAGACCAAGTTTGCCATCCATAAGCAGCACTGTTACCATCACTTAGCTGCAAAGGTACATCTCCTGTCTTATAATAGCCCCAGTTCTTTACAAAAGGCTCCTAGGATAGGGCAGGGCAGGGAAACTACAGTGTCTCCCAGGAGACAACCAACGGACTGGGAAAGGCACACAAGGTCACTTTGTGGGGATAGGAAAAAAGAGCGCACACCTCACAAACATTAGGGCAGGAGGTCAGCCAACAGGACAACACAGCAAAGACTGGTTCTCACACTACAAGCCTCTCCCCTTTACAGTTGTGGTGACAATGGGCCCTGGGAGAAGCACAACCTGTCCTGGGATGAACCCAGCGGTTCTCTGCCCCCAGTGACATCATCTGGGAACCTTTCAAATCTCACTCTCAGAGGTTCTGATTCAACTGGTCTGGAGTGGGACCTGGGCTGAGAGCAGGCTGGGAGAGACTGGGCACTCCTATATAATTTACAGTTATTATGGCTCTAGATTCAGACATTCCCTGAAAAACCACCAATGATAAAATGTACTTTATGAGCTCAATGCCGTATTTATAAAATATTAAGTGGCCTCACCTTGGTTTTACTTAAACAGCAGCAATATAAACAAATGGCTCAAAACATACACTATCTTACCCGTCTATTAAGGGCCGTCTTGCTACCAAGTTTTGTCATCTCTCCAAGGCTGTTTTGTGAAACTCTTCTGTCAGCATCTTCCTGCATCCCTAAAAGAGTTTATCAAGAAAGCACCATTTGTCCTGAAACTCTGCTGTAAACATGATACTTAAAGAGTCATGAAATTCAAACAATACTTTTCAAGGTAAGAGGAGATGCAAAATGAAAAACTACAGAACCACTTCAAACCCAAAGTACCCGAGGAACTTGATCTTTACCTGCATTATCCGAGCATGGAACATCTCCATTAGTTGTTGAAGACACAAGAAATTTTCTTGCACTGCTTAGTCCCCGACTGTTGAGGAAAACGGGCAGATGAACTATATTGCGCATATAGTCATGCCCATTGATATTTGAGTCACGAAGCACACTATTGAGGTTCTGATTAATTGCCTTTATGATAATATGTGGATCACTTGCAAAAATGGCGATGAATGGGCCTTTTGAAAACAGAACTCGGACCTGTGGTAGAAGAAATGTATAATCACAGTAAAAAACTTAAATTATCCAAAGTAACAAAACCTCTCTTCAAATTCTGTGTTAGCCTTTGTGACTACATTTTAAAAATAGCATTTCCTTCTCATTCAAATGTTATTCTATGTGAAAACAAATTTTATTGAAGTCTCAATCTGGTTTTTCACCACCTGACAATTTTTCAACATTTGACAGTGAGAGAATCTCCGAAGGAAACAATTGGTCCTGTCCTACTTTGAGACCCTCAGGATCTACATTAAGAAGATCCACAAACATGAAAAATACTTATGAAATATTCATGAGCAGACACAATGCACTGTACACACTGGTCTAGTAAGAGCAACACACATGAGAAACACTCATGAAGTACTCATGAGCAGACACGGTGCACTGCACACACTCGTCTAGTAAGATCCAAACACATGAGAAATACAAGCAGAAACGGTGAACTGCACACACTGGTCTCTGACCACAGGCACACACTGCTGCTTATACCAGACCTTACAGAAAGCCAGTGACCTTTCTTACTTTTTAACAAAAACTCCACAAATTCTGTGGTCTCCCCACCCCTATCTATATTCTAACCATAACCATCTGTATAGAAACGCTGGAGTCACACCCTGGACTTTAGAGACCCCCCTACTCACGTTTCCCCTCACACTGCCATTAAACTAAAATTGGTTAAATGTGCTTGGGATGAAACTTCTCCTGTTTCTGCATGAAACACACAGTTGTTTTTATAAAAGAAAAAATAGTATTCAAATTCCACTTAAGATATTCATGAAGCTGTTCCTCTCAGCTGCCACATATGTGACAGTTACAAGTTTCAAGATGGTTAAGACGTACAGTGTCCAGCATCTGGAGTACTTTGTCCTGCTCACAGGCATCTAATCCATCAATGATAACCACCAGCCTTGTCTGATTCTGAGTGAAGCTGTCAATGGTTTTTGCCATCCTGGCCATCAATTCCACTTCACACTTAAGAACCTGTGCAAAAGAAAGGATACACTGTGCTGAAGATACGAGAAACTTAAGTACCTCTCTTAAAGAGCCTGAAAGTCACCTACTGGAAGAAAAGAAACCCAAAGTGCTTGCTGCCAGCTGTGGTTCCACTTAGTGGAACTGTAGTGAATGCGTCACCATTTACAAAGTGCCTTCATCTAAATTAGAGCATTTCTTACAAAGAGGTAGACAATGTCATATACATTTTAAAAGGACAAACTTGGCTGAAGTGACTTACATGCCAAGATCACATGCTCTGAAGGTCAGAAGACAGATTAAAATGCAAAACCAAATGACCTACATGCCTCACCACAACTGGCTTCCAGATGGATATGACCTTGATCAAAGGAAGGGGCTGTGGATAATTGTATAAAGTCCTTTTTCAATCTAAAAAGTACATTCCTATCTTCTATGTTTTGGTGGTTCAATTTGTCTACTCTACCAGGCTGCAGAGCAACCTGAACTATTAGGTAATAACTACCACCTGAGGGGTATCTGCTAACTCTGCTGTTGCTGTTTAGCTGCCAAGTTGTGTCCGACTCTGCGACCCCACAGACTGCAGCATATCAGGCTCCTCTGTCTTCCACTATCTCCTCAAGTTTGCTCAAATTCATATCCACTGGGTCAGTGATGCTATCTAACCATCTCATCCTCTGCCCTCTCCTTCTCCTTTGCCCTCAATCTTTCCCAGCACCAGGCTGCTTGCCACTGAATTGGTTCTTCACATCAGGGGGCCAAAGTACTGAAGTTATAGTTAACTCTATGAGGATCTGGTAAAAGTCGATTTTATAAAAAGACATTACTGTTATAACTTCTTCCATACTATACATGCATTTTTCATAGGAAAAATCTGGATTAAAACTAAAAACAAGTGCAATTCTCTAACAGTTAGAAAATAGACCCCCTAAAGCCCCAGTGATCATGGTCATAGGAGCATGTTTACATTAGGACTATTTTCTTTTTTTTTTTTTTTTGGCCACACCACACAGTTTATATGGGATCTTAGTTCCCTGACCAGGGATCAAACATGGGCCCTTGGCAGTGAAAGCAGAGTCCTAACCACTGGACCATCAGAGAATTCCCAGAATTATTTTCTAACAAGCCAGGAGTGCTTACTTTCATGAATCCTTCACTCTTCAGTTTGTGCAGTTTGGAGGCAGCATTATGGAGGCGCTTCCTTTGAGAATTCAGAAGTGAATCCAGCACCTGCCACCATGTTCGACAGTTGAGCACAAACGCCAACCCCACTATGGACGCAATTGATATGAGGACAGCATTCACTGTCATATGCTTGGGGTCAACTCTGAATATAGCCAGAAGAGTAATCCCAGCAATAATGCAGCCAAAGATGAAAAGGAAGATGACAAAAGATGGGAGACAACATGTTTTTTTCCATTTCTTTTTACCTGTAAAATACAACAAATGGTTTTAACATCTCAAGCATCCAGAAAGTCCCAATCATTACAGTGACAGCATACTATTAGAACCTGATGTTCATGTTTCCATGCATTTTGTCCATACCATCCTCAACCCCTCCATATACAGAAAGAAGAAAAGGTCCTACCCTGCGTATCTTCAGTCTTGAACACTCGGAAAAGCCTGGTTGCCAAAAAGCCAAACTCTCTTTCACAAGCATCCGAGAGGGTGGCGATCATTTCAGCCATTGAAGTTTCCCCACCTACGCTGGACAGTCTATTATAATCTGTAAACAAAAACCTTGGGAAAAGGGGAAAGAAAATGTTATGCTGCTTGGGGAAAGGGGAAAGAAAATGTTATGCCGCTACCTAAAGAAACAGTTTCAACATACATTATGTCTATCATGTAGCTCGGTGTTTCCTTCATGTCTCTGTCAAAATATTGTTTTTAAAATTCTATTTGTAATTAGGTATCTTCCATTTCTAACAGCTTATATTCTTTTCTTAGGAAATGACAGTAACAAATGTTAAATTAGTAGAGTTATATGAAGCAATTCTGACTAAAAGCAGAAAAGGGAAAAGGTTATGACAGAACTTAGACAAAGGAGCCAGACATCTCCCAGATCTCATGACAACAATTCAACGGTGGTGCCCCACATTAGTCAGAAAGAGCCGCACAAAGAACATTTTGTAAACACCAACTGAAGAGATTAGAACCTTGAGAAAATAGTATAGTAATTACGAACTTGATGCCATTTAAAAACTCAACCTTCAGAATGTCCTATTTATAGCTTACTCATCTACCAGGGGTTGAGAAAGAAGTTATATTCTTTTCCTAGTTGTTCTGTGAAATAACTGAATTATTTGCATTTTGAGCCTCTGAATGGGTATTACTTCTGCATTAGTTCCTTTATTCCTTTCTACTGCTAAACTCTCAACTTAATCCTATAGACAGGCACTGCTTTCAAAATACAATCCAGGATCACAGTGTACTCTATATATACTTGGTCTTAATTAAATTAATGCTATTTTAGTTGCTCTAACTTTTTAAAAGATAATGATCTCATTAGCTTTAAATGCTTTTATGTAAAAATATCTTCCCCAACTTTTTTTATTCTACTCTGTATGTTTTCTTTTTGTTTTTCATTTTAACTTATCATTTTAAATCCTTTTCTTAACACTTAATCCTATATACCATTTATTTACCTGTAAGATTTTATTTTTATCTTCCTCTCATAGTTCTGATGTCTTACCAGGTTTGGATCATTCACTTTCAGCTTAACTTACACATATTTTATCTTACAATAATTTCTAAATTCTTAATCTTTGCATATTTAATTATTTTACTAATTTCTGTTGAATTCCTTTTGCTTTCAGTTCTTTAACCTTTTTTTCCATTTTACTTTCCTCTGGGGCCCTCCAGATTTCCTTTACTCTTTGACTTACAAGTTTCTCATCTTTTCTGAACTGTTTGCTCAGAACAACTGTTTGCTCTGAACCTTCCCTATTTGATATGATGATAACTTTAGAGGAGTGGGTACATACATATACACAGCTGAGGAACGAACAGCTCTGATCACATGCTGAGTTGCCAAGACCACACCCTGATGTCAAAAGGTTCCAGGACTCCAACCTAGACCCAGTACTCTTTACTGATTTGTCCAAAGGATGGTAATAGGTATCATAAGGGGGGAATGTGGGGCTTCACTCTAATAAAATTTGGCAAATCAAAGTTAAATATAATTTTTTATGAAAAGGTGTCTCTGATCTTACAATGTACAAGAGGGAGATGTAATATGAAGAGTTTTCCAAGTGATTTGACCAGGGCATGTTTGTTTTATTTCTCACATTAAAAAAGTTTAAGGGACCAATTTTCTTTTCCTCCCTTAAGAAAACATGAGAAAAGATGCATTATCAACTTTCATTTGCTTCATTTTATTAAAAGTTACTTCTGTCTAAGGGACCAACTCACCTCACAGGCAGAGCTTTAGTGGTTTGTTCTGGCAGCTCAGGTGGGTTCACAAACATCAATTTGAGGAGGAGCTCCAAGTAGCCGATATGTCTTGCCAATCTAGTACTGAGGACCCAGGCCCAATTCCAACTCTCTCCTTCCCTCCGTCCACCAAAGTAAATGACAACTGAAAGTCAAGGTTTCAAAAAAAATTATCCAGAACAATCATTAGTCAAGCAGCCTCTTTTCTGCAAACAGTCAAGTATCAAGTAGTGACAGGTAGGCTTACATAATTTTCATGGTCCCTTGTTATTTCCTAACTAGTTCTCAAAGAATTCCTCAACTAATTAACCTTCCCCAACAAACATCAGGAGCTTCCCAGGTGGAGCTTCCCAGGTGGAGCTAGTGGTAAAGAATCCACCTGCCAGTGCTGGAGACGTAAGAGATCTGGGTTCAATCCCTGGGTCAGGAAGATCCCCTGGAGTAGGAAATGGCAACCCACTCCAGTCTTCTTGCTGGGAGAATCCCACAGACAGAGAAGTCTGGTGGGCTACAGTCTATGGGGTCACAAAGAGTTGGACACGACTGAGCGTCTGAGCAATAACAAAAGCAAAAACATATTATCAGGTATGTGAAAAACAGAAAGTAAGTTGGCTAAAATATGACATAATAAACACAATCAGAAGGATAATGCCTTAAACCAAAGCATATCCTTTAGTTCAGATTCAAATGTAAGAATGACTGGTTTTATCTCTACTTGTGACTGGTGAAGTTACCAACAATAAACCTATTTCCTTTCTTGCAACTGAAGACACTCCTAAAAACAGGGATTATATATATTTATTACCTTACTTTTAGATAAAATAAAAATCACAGTCATGATCAAAATGATCAAGAGCATGCCATGATGTCTATGAAGATTTATTTTCAAAAAAGATTCAAACACAAATTAACATAAAAAAGGAAAAGTAATTTAAAGTTCTGCTTCAATATTAATAAGTAGTGCACTAGCTTTTAAAGTTTTGCCAGAAAAAAAATAAATAAAGTTTTGCCAGGCAGGCTGGGGACAATGCTCCTCTAAGTCAACTTACAAAACAGCAAAAAATCAATCTTCTCACCAAAATAGGAAAACCACTTATAGACTTTAGAAGACAGATGCAGATACAATTCTAAATAAAACAATGAGTTTTGGCATTCTCTACATTTTTGAAAAAGATAAAAGACAAAGACTTACTAAAAAATATATACAAGACAGCCAAGAAGCTCAATGACACTGCAATTCCAAGATTTGGGTCTACTGTAAAAGCAAACAATAAACCAAGCCCTCCACAAAGCAGCAGGGTCAGAAACACCACAAGCCATGAAAACTGAAACAGAGGTTCAATCTGTTGTCCTGCAAAAGTTTTCATTTCATCTGAAAGAGAAATTATAAGAAAACATTATTTGTTTAAAAAATGAAACATTTTGAAAATTTCACATTTTCACTATAAACATTTACCTAGCTAGAATGTTGCTACTTAACCATGCTAACCAATGTTCGCTTTTGCTAAGAATCTCATTCCTTGGGGGCACATTTACCCTTGACCCTTGCCCTACCCACTCTCTTGCTTCCTACTGAAGACGCACAGAATCCTCTCTCATATATTCCCATCTGTCAAGGTTTTGTTGATATTTTGAGATTTGTATTAATGCAACCAACAAAGTATTGTTTCCATATATAAAACTAAAAATTATTACTTTGCTATGTGTGTCTTCAGAAAACACAGCACCACCATTCCTCTGCGACTCCTCATCCCTTCTCCCTCCAGTTACATTTGAGGATCACTGCTCTTAAAGGTGAGCCCAAATGAGCTGGAAACAAGTCATTCATTCCTACTACAAAATTTAGTTAAAAAAAAAATTTACAGGTGATATTGAAACCTGTCCTTGAAGAAATAAGTAAGATTTTGCTAAGCAAAAGGAGTGGGGTCTCAGGTCAGAGGTGGGGGGAGATGCAGAGGAGCCACTCAGTAAGTGTCTGGTCTGCGCCTACAAGAGCAAACAGCCATCTGTAACTACACCACTGAACTGCACAAGAGGTAGTGCTGGCAGGTGGGAGCACACAAGCTGACATGTCTGCAAAGGGCCCTGGTTTAAGATACCTATAGGTTTAAGATATCTATAAACAGTGCAGGCAGGAAATCTGCTACAGAGGGGTTCTAATGTAGTTGGACCTTTGTTTTAGAAAGAGAACTCAAATGATTGGGTGGAGATCAACCACATACCCATACATAAAACTCTATTTTTACTTAAAAAACACACAAGAGAAAACCTTGTTATATACGCATACACTTTATAAACAAGCCCTTTACCTTCTAGTTTCTTGAGTAAGAAGGATTTACCACTTCCCCACTGTGCATAAAGGCCCACACAAATGGGCGGCTGCATGGTAGGCTCACTGAGAATATCTGCCAGGGCACTGCTGTACAGATCGTAACCAAGCATGTCACCATCTGTCTCGGTAGGAGACAAGTGTCCTGTAATTATAAATACACGATACCCTAACATTAAAAAGAGACATTATAAAGGAGTATCAATTCTCATGTATTAATTGTTAACTCAAGTAACGGAAAAAAAAGGTTGAAAGTGTTAGTTGCTCAGTCGTGTCTGCCTCTCTGCAACCCCATGGACTATAGCCCATCAGGCTCCTCTGTCATGGGATTCTCCAGGCAAGAATATGGAGTGGGTTGCCATTCCCTTCTCCAGGGGATCTTCCTGATTCAGGGACTGAACCCCAGTCTCCTGCTTTGCAGACAGATTCTTTACCGTCTAAGCCACCAGGGTTAGACCTGTGTAAAAATAGGTTCAGAGATTAATAAGTTAATATCATATTTCACAGAACTTAAATACCTACTAATTACAAGAGGCATCATTATTATGTTCAACTGAGAGAAGAAATGTTGCCAAATTATGACACAATGCTTTCTCACCCATCAATTATAAGACAAAGTCCAACTTCAAGGATACTAAAATGTGGAGTAAAGTATATTATAAAATCAATAAAAAGATTAAAACAGAAACTAGTCAATAGGAATCAATTTAATATGTACAGTATGAATAAAAATAAAGCTATAAAATGTTAGTTAAAAACACAAGAGATAAGCAGAGAAAAAAATTATTCTATGGTTCCAAACAGAAAGGGTCAATGACTAAACAATAGCAATTCTCCCCAAATTAATCAATCACTTTAAGGCAATCTCAATAAAAATCGATGAGAATATTCTGAAAAATTAAAAAGTAAGAATAGGTATGAAAAAAATTTAAAGACTACCAACAATTAGCTCTCTTTGGAGAAGAATCAAAATACATTCTAAAACGACAATAATTACAATAACACAGAACTCACACAGGATATTAATATAAGTGGCATGTCTGATCAGTGGGGAAAGGATGAATTAGTAGCTGGTGTTGGGAGAAGTAAGCCATTCTTTTTTTTTTCCCTTCTTTTTAATGAAATTAAAACTCTACATCTCATACTTCAACAAAAATACGGTTCTGAAACAAAAAATTAAACGTAAAGAGTAAAACTATAAAAGTACAAGGAAATATAAGACAAAAACCTTTAAAAATCTTTGTGTGGAAAAAGACCTTTCCTTCTCAATATAATATTAAAGCCAGAGCTGCAAGAAAAGGTCAACAAACTACAGATTTATATACCTTTCGAATGGGGAATAAAAAAACTCCCATCACCATAAACAAAGAATAATCTGGGGCGAGAGATACACTATATGGCTGAATTCAGGATCAATATCCTTAAAAACACAAAACTCAATTTTATTAAATAATTTTTAAAAAAAGAGGACAAAGGAATCAAAGAGGAAAATAGCAAAAAAGGAAATAGGCTATGAATGTTATTAAAAGATCTCAATCTCACTAATAATTTTACAATGGAAATTAAAATGAAACTTTTTTCTTATCAATCTGATTAGCAAAGGTTAATAAGAAAGCTGGAAATATCCAGTGTTAGCAAGGTTGTAGGGAATTGCACAAACGCGGCCTAAGGAAGAAGAGATTGTTACAACCATTTTGGAAAGTCTATCGAAACTGAATACCCAGTGACTTGCCAATTCTACTTCTGGAAGTTTATTCCAAGAAAATAATCCTAAAAATAGGAGTTAATGGATATTTGTACAAATATGTTCACTGAAGCGCTAGCTTTTGATTGCAAAACAAACCAAATATTTATCAATAAAGAACTGACCATACTATTAAAACTGATTGAAAGATTATGCAACAATCATTTAAAACTTTTATAATACAGTATTCTCAAGTGTTTTTTAAGGCTATATATATATAGTATAAAACATTTTTAGAAATGTAAAGAATTTACAATTTGTACAAACAATGACAAATTAGGAAATAAGGGACAACGGGAAGATTGCACTTTTTTTCTACTATATTTGTGTTTTCATCCTTAAAATTTAATGTATGCATTACAAAACTTAATACAATAGAATCATACTTAAAATTTAAAAACAAGATGTAAATAAACAGCTAAACTGGAAGGTGGCAGGATGCTACTCTCTCCTGTTGGTTTCTAGGACTAACATGTCTCTTTTTAATTTGAGTAGAAAATTGCTCCATATTTCAAAAGACCACATGTGAATGATTAGATTCTCATGTGCATCCTCTATAAGCAAAAAATACTTTAGTACAATATTCAAGGCATTATGCAAGGTGTTATGGAGGATACAAGATAAGAAGAAAGAATGCCTGCCCTGAATAACTTGGAATCTGGGAGAAAATTCTAAAAGAAACAAAATAAAAGGCCATATGTAATAGGTATTTAAAAAGGATTATTAACACAGTGCTTAAGTACCCAAATGGGGCAAAAATTTCATCTGGTTAGGCAGATCAGTCCGGAGAAGGCAATGGCACCTCACTCCAGTACTCTTGCCTGGAAAATCCCATGGATGGAGGAGCCTGGTGGGCTGCAGTCCATGGGGTCAGTAAGAGCTGGACACAACTGAGTGACTTCACTTTCACTTTTACACATTGGAGAAGGAAATGGCAACCCACTCCAGTGTTCTTGCCTGGAGAATCCTAGGGATAGGGGAGCCTGGTGGGCTGCCGTCTATGGGGTCGCACAGGGTTGGACACAACTGAAGCAACTTAGCAGCAGCAGGCAGATCAGTCAAAAGGTCACTGAGAAGGAGACGACTGACCCCAACCTTGGAGAGACAGGATTTTAACAAGAACATTCATGGGAATGGAGCGGGCACAACACAAGCAGAGGTTGAGAGCCACTCACTGAAAACAGAGCATGTTTGACAAAAGAACAAAGTCTACCTGAGAGAATAACAGGGGGATGAGATTTTCAGAAAAGTAGGCTAGATTTTTGAAGGTTTTAAAAGATACCATTGACTCTGAATGTACTTAATTTAGAATGCTCCAATATAATGCAAAGGAACTCTAGACAGGAAGAAGTTACTTTTCTACAGCAAAGTAATAGCATATTTAACTTTTATAATCTCTGGTTAAGTGATAAACACAAAACTGCTGTCATTCTCTTAATTTTTTCATAGATGTTCATTTCTTAAAACCTCAGGCAGATACAAAACCCAATACTTACTGGCTCCAAATATTTGAGTTAAAATACTTTTCTGATGGCTACAGTCAATATTGTAGGGAGTCTCGCCTGCTTTGTTGGGTCTATACAGTAACCGTCCATCTTTGGGGTTTCTTAAAAGGAGTTCTGCCAGTTTCCGACTCCTCCCACGAATAGCAATGTGCAGAGGGGTGTCTCCTTTCTGTAAACAGTGAAGGGACACTTGAACTTCCCCATTTCTCATGTACGTATATACAGAATAACATTTTCCATATTTCTACAAAATAAGAAAATATCCAAACTCTCCATATTTTTCATATGAGTTTTTATTTCTATCTTCCTTGCAATTTTCTTTCTCTAGTTCCTTCCCTAGCTTTTCTTTGGTATTCTTTCTCCCAGAGCCTCCAGAATGAAAGAGCACAAGGAACAGGTTTCCCCTGTGGCTTCCCACAGGCCCTGGATCCACTTCCATCATAGGTTAATGGTACTTCCATCTACCATTCAGATACTAACTGTCCACTGATGTCAACCGTCTTCCTCAACTAATTTATATTCTATTTCACAATGCTCTCGTCATTGGTCTACACAGCATCTCAGTCCATGTTGGTATTTCACTACCACAAGTGAACTTGTCTTTCCTCACGCCCTTGGTCACCATCATCGTCTTTCTCTACATTCCCTCCCTCAGAGTCCTCTCTTGTATCCACCCTTCCCTGCCTACTTACCACCTCTCCATTCCCTCAGCTTTAACTTCTCTCAAACATCAACCTGCCTTCTTCCTTTATTAGAATCTCCATCACTTTACTCTTCACATACAGCACTAATGAAAACTATCATGTAAAAAAAATTTAGTCTGCAAAGTATTCTCCACATTTTACTTTACAAACATCTCTTAAAGACAATGACCCAAAAGCTAACAAATGAAATTCTCAGTTCCCGCCCACTCTGGTCGCTCTAGAACCTTAAATGAAAATGATGTGCCACGTTCTTCCTGTGGCTTATCTTGATTCTTTCCTCTTGTTTCTCTGCAACAAGATCCACCCTGATGACATCATCCTTGCATGGTGCTCAATGCAGCTCAGCTCCCTAAAACTGATCTGAGCCACAGAGGGCACACAGGAAGCAACTTCTTTAACTGAGCCTGCCCACTCCTCAGCACGCTCTCAGAACAGCCAAGACCTCACAGCATCCAAATCCCACACAGATATCCCCAGTCAGTAATCTCTCCCTCCACAAAATAACATGAGACTCCCCTAAGTCCACCAGGTATACAGGTTGGTCTTACCAACTGCCCTATGCTCTCTGCACAAATGTTTTATTACTACCTTATCGACGGCAGACACTTTGGCTCCTTTATCCAGCAGCAGCTCCACCACTTCTATGTTTCTCATCTTGGTAGCCTTTATAAGGGGTGTTTCGCCATCCTGTGGGTACAGATAAAAAGGTTTGCCAGATTAATACGTTTAGTCTTTAAAGTCACATAAACACACGTCAAGAAGTCAAATATCTGCCCAGTCTACATCAAAAATGTTCTCAAGAAAACACAGTTGCAAAAACTAATAAGAAAGTGCTTTTCCTTCCACAACCAACCATTTGTATCAAAATACTTGCATGTCACTCAGCCAAGCAAGGGTTGTACCCACTACTTACTTATTAAAGAATGATCTAATTGCTTTCAAAACCAAATTAAGAGAAAGAAGAAGAGACCACAGAGTTCAGCACTGTATTAGGAAAAAGCAAAATGTGGTCAGAGCAGCTGACACACAGTTCCGAAAGAAAAAAGATTCCAAGGAGCCACGGCCTGCAAACCAGAAGGTATCCTAGGGCACTGCAGTCACCATCACTGGTTCAGACAACACTGCTCCAAATCTCTGGTAGATGAAATAGGGCTGTATTACGGGTGCTTCCACAAGTCTGCTTTATTCATGAAGGACTCCTGCCATTTCACTTCAGAATTCCAAATATACTTTCCTTATGAACAACTACTATACAGAAGGCCAAATATAATCACTGAGGTCTTACACAGTTTTATACTTTTCACATGGAGTAAAACAGACTAAAGTGGTTGGTTTGAGGAACCAATAACCATATGAAATGATCTTTTAAAAAGAAACATGTTTGGCATTCCAAACAACAGGAGCATAAAATAATTCTGGGGAAATGACTCGGCCACAGTTTATGAATGGCTGATATTGTACTTTCTGAAAGTATCTAAATAAAATAACAAATTACACAGTGTATTCTGCTGTGAATACACAACTCCTAAAAGGATATAAAGCTACTCCTCAACTTAATACAGAACACTACCAGTAAAATTCTAATATCCAACAGTTGTAAAAACTGAAAAAAAAATAAGCAGTACTAACATTCAGCACTGCTGCTGCTAAGTCGCTTCAGTCGTGTCCAACTCTATTCGACCCCATAGATGGCAGCCCACCAGGCTCCCCCATTCCTGGGATTCTCCAGGCAAGAACACTGGAGTGGACTGCCATTTCCTTCTCCAAACATTCAGCACTAGGTATTGCTAAAAGGATGGAAATGTCGTTTATACCTTTGTGCATATTTCAGTGTCAGGATTGCACTGTAAGATGTCTCTCACCATTGTTGCATTTCCTTTCTCAACAGCCCAATACAAAGCAGTTTTATTGTCCTGTATTAATTAGAAAAATCAACAGTCACTTCATATAAGAATATTAAAAATTCATCAGTATTAACATTTCTGTCAGAAAGCATTAATATATCTTACCAAGAAGCAGCATGATAGAAAATAATAATCCTTACTGTACCTTGCATTTATTTGTGGGAAATTCTTTACAAAAGAAGTCGAGGAAAACTTAACATTTCTTGACTAGGAAGCAGCATCCCCACACAGCTGATAGGGTAAACTATGCTTCTGGAATACAATTAGGTTTCAGGACCCCACACTGTGTTGGAGGTCTTCAGGACTTGAACTGTGTCCTTTGAGAAGTCATGTAAATATTCTGACCTTAGCTTGTGCCTTTTCATCTGCCCAATCTTTTCAAAAGATAATGCACGAGAATGTACTACACAAACATAAGCTGAATTGTTTCTATCAATCTCAGCTATCTTAACCTCCACACCCATAAACTGATTTTCATCAGATCCTTTAAAATCCTATCTAGTTCATACATCAAAAATAGATTCAAATGATTTTGAAAGTAGAGCTAAAGAAGAAAAACAAAAACTAATTAAAATGTTGGAAAACAGAATTGACGGGCACAAAGGAGTTAGATAAAAGCCTAAATAGGTGATCAAGGCATCTACTTTTAGTGAAAATATGATTTTTTCCTCAATGAATGACTTTTGGCCACTATCACACTGTTTGCTACACCAAGGTTTTCTCAACACAGTTCCCTTCTCAAAACTGCACACTAGCTTCTGAACCTTCTGAGTTTGACACTGTAGCCTATCTGGTCCTACATCCCTTTGTACTTTACTATCTCCCATCCCACCCTCCTTAACAACCTGATTTATTCATTAGCTAAGGACTACAGTCTTTCACTTTCCCACTTCCCTAAACTTTCTCATCCCATTATTCTACTACCCTTGCCTGAATTACTCAGCCTTTCTTTATCCAAACTCGACCCATTTTTCAAACTTAGTTCAAATTCTACCTTCCCTCAAAAGTTCTCCTTAATGCCTTCTTTCACCACCTCAAGACTCTCACATTTGAATCTTCACTAGGCAATCAACCATACACTATCTGATATCAAAAGTGGCATCACTGTTTATGTTTAGATAAAAACCTAAGTTTAAGTATAAACTAAATGAACTAAAACCTTCCGAACTAAAGTACATGTTTCTTACAGGCAAGGGATCCATGTTAAAAGACTCTCATGGCATTTGGCATAATGTTTATTAGTTTGATTCAAAAATGGATTTGTATACAAGGAAAAAAACTGAGCAGAAATACAGACTGTGCAACAGCAAAATGGGTTGTAAAGTATAGCTTTTTCTTTTTTAATCAAAAGCTTTTGACATACTGAATGAATTTACAACTTTAGGAGTGCTTTTACCTAAAATGAATAACCTTTATAGCTCTGTGAGCTGTGACTGCCTTAAATGAAGTCCACAGACACTACCAAATGGTCCTAAGAAAGGCAAGCAAATGGGGGAAAGGAGATGAAAGATTTAAAAAAAAAAAAAAAAAAAAACAGGAATAGAAGAACAATACACGGCTGAAGAAGACAAACAGAATGAGAACACAAAAGAAAACAAGTGACACACTCTCAAAGTGCTGCCATGTCTCACTATCATAAACTACTAATTTCAGGATTGAATATATTTAGACATTAATAAGGGAGGTGTACTTGAAAAACATGAGCTTCTTTACGGTTCATTTCTATCTAAATCTAACTTGACATTAATACAGAAATTTCATAATAATGGCAGTGAAACTTAATAATACAGGCATCCATTAAATATATTAGTGTTTATAAGTTTAACTTCATAGGAAAACCCAAAGAATGACATTATGATCAACCAACATATATTACCAATTACAGTCAGAGATAATAGTCTGTAATCACACACACCTGTCCTCTAATGTCGATATCAGCATATTTTTGGAGAAGTGCTCGAACAATTTCCACATGACCACCTCTGACAGCACCAATTAAGACAGTATCTCCACTCTAAAAAGACCAAAAAAAACCCAGATAATTGATGAGGAAAACAAAAAAATACTGTTTTGAAGTTAAGATTAACCATATATTAATACAATAAATTTTTTTTGGAAATGTCTTGGGAAAAAAAGTATCTCAGACACTTTCTGTAAACAACAAAGTTTTTAGGTAACTAGTATTAATACCTGATATTAATAGCCTGTAGAATAAGGGACAGAAGACTATACAAAATGAGGACATTTATACCTGAAATTCCAGGACAAAACTTTAGAAAGGTAAGTCACACAGAACAATAAGCCATTCTATTTTGAAGGCACCCTCTCATTACAAATGTAAATTAAATAAAATGACGCCATGACTGTCAATGAACCAGATGAACCTTTGGAAATTACCTAACACAAATCCCTTGGAATCACGTTATCTGACCAACGCCACCGACTCTAAAGGGCGCTGTCAAGCTAGAGCCATCTGTGGGTTTATCACCACGTTTAACTAAGGGGAAGGCTGGTTTCCAAAACAGCAGCTACATTCCACTCATCAGTACAGGCCAAGACTGCCCAGGACTGACTCTCCTCAGCACAAGGGTTAGATGAAGTTCATTACCTCATAAGGGTAGCTCTGCCCTGAAATTATATTCACCAAGCAATAATCTTTCTCTACTTCAAATACTGCAAATGGCCTTTTTTTTTTTAAACTGCTAAATTACAAATCAATTACACGGGTTTGAGTTGGATCATTCCATGAGCTATGGCTCATCTCAATCTTAAATGGGCCCCGGTGGGCTACAATTCAAAATGCAGGCCCTTGAGAACTGAGTCTAATGCCACAATGTAGTATCTTAACTACTACATTAAAAGTATAAACCCATGGCAAAAACATTTTGGGAATATTAGCACTAATGTGGGTTCAAACTAGGAAATTAACACAAGGTTCTAAATATTCCATCGCTTACTATGTGCCATGCACTATTCTAGGCTCGAGGAAATAAGTTAGACAAGGTCCCAGCTCTGGGAGAATGTATAGTCTAGAGGAGACTGACAACAGACAGTAAACAAAAATAAAAAATAAGATAAATGTAATGCAAATAAAAGAAAGTGATGTGATAGAAAGTGACTGGGGAGTGACTCTGGTCACTGAGAAATCAAGACTATTGTGTACAGTATGGGTCTTTAACACAGGGTAGATGGTGGGACCACTTACTGAGATGGAGAAGTCTGAAGGGAAAGCAGGTCTGGGATCAAACAAACAAAACATCTGTTTTGCCGAAAATAAAGAGGCCCATTAGACACTCAGGTGGAGAGTTTAAGTGGAAATGGACATGCAAGTGTATACTTCTGAGAAGAGGTCACAGCCAGAGATACAAACTTGAAAATTCTATTAAGTGTAAGAGTGGTACCTAAAGTCTTAGAACAATGAACAACACCAGTCATGAACAAGACCTACAGTAAGGATGATTTTAAGATCACATTTTCAATAACAATATTATTTTTAAAAAACTGAAAAGAACATCCTTCACAAAGATTAAATAGGTTTTAACTTACTGGTTTTAAAGGTAGAAATAAAACATCTTAAATATGTTATGCAGGAAGAATGTTGAAAGGTGTTGAGAAGATAAGGTACCTTCCATCAACATCACCACTGGAAGACAAGTTCTAAATAGACAACCTACCCTATCAGGTATGTTCACATATGTCCCAGCGTCAAGGAGATCCTGTACAATTTCTGTATGTCCCTCCTTCGATGCGATCATCAAAGCTGTATTTCCATCCTTATCTGTTAAATTTACATTTGGATTTCGCTTCAAAATTTCTTTCACTGACTGTGTGTAGCCTCCTTTTACTGCCACAATAAGTGCAGTCATTGAATTCTAAAAAACAAACAAAAAAGTCCAATAAAGTAGTCATTTCAGACAACTTAATTTATGCCATAGTAAAAAAATTGATGTTTTCAAATAGGTGATCTATAATTAACAATTATTTCTGATAATAAAATGCCAACATAAATAACCAGAAACATACCAAAAGTGGTCAGGAAGCATATTTTCCATTCTTGAAGATGTGTTAGTTCTCTTCAGTCAGGAGAACTGACACTAAAATCTTTAAATGATAACCTAAATTTGGACTCATTTACAATGAACAAATCCTCTCACTAAAGTATTGAATGGTAAAATAGCTGACAGGATGATTCAAAATTAAACACATTCTAAATGAAATAATTCAAAGTAAGGTTAACAGACTTCAAACAAGTAACAGTCTACAATAAAATCTATACGAAAACGTAAGTGAAACAATGAATTAAAAAGTATAGAATATTTCAATAACAGTATAATATATTCTTCTTTCTTACAGTGACCTGGAAATCACATTTTAAAAACCGTCTTATTTTTAGTGGTTCTTTTAAAAACTGCACATTTAATAACAATAAATCACCTAATACAAGAATCTGACTCACTGCAAAACAAATACTAATGTTTACTCTTGAGATTTTTATATAGTTTCAGATAGCATGCAATTTCCTTATAGAAATATTTTAGCTGTTATATCAACCCCTGGAACTAAGCCATAACTCTCAATATTAAATAACATAGCCTTTTCAGATTCTTCAGCAGTCAACATAGAGACAGGCCATTCATCCACTTGATAAGCTGCCCAGAAAAGAGGCAGGTGAACAGTATGGCTTCCAGGGTTGGGTAAGAATCATGCTCTGTCTCCACACAGCACTAACATATTCCACACCCCTTGAAGGTCGGCAGTGAGCAGCTCTGCGACCATGGAAAATAGGAGGAGCTGGTTGGTATTATGCCAAGAAGTCAAGTATGACTTAGAGCCCACTCTTGTTACACTGCAGCCACAGGTTTGCTAGCAACTCTTCTCACGAGTCCTTTATGATCCACCTCACATAATCTAATAATTATGGTAACAGAAGACTGTATTGTTTCCTGTGCATAAACATCATCTCCTTTAACTATATTCTTAGAAGTTCAAGAGAAAGTGATGTGATAGCCTCCTCCACCCTCAGCAACTCTGGCACAGGTCAGTTGCAAACAGGGACTCAATAATGAATCCGTAACTCCTAGTCACTAAGATATACTGAACCAATTTTTAAGCTATCTAGGTTTTGACCACTGATTTCTGATATTTTAAAATCTATCAGAGAAGTAAAACAAGTTACAGCTTAAAATATTAAAAAATTATGGCATTATTTTAAAATTTTAAAGAAAAGGTATTTTGAAAGAACAGAAATTCTTTCCACATTAGTAATTCAAATCATTTGATGTGGGAAGTACTTTAATTTATACTAAGATTACTAAAAGATATTCCTTAGAGCTTTAGCCTCCTAAAATTGATGTGCACTGACAAAAACTCCTTAAGAGCACATGTTTGTAATATATAATATCTAAATTTACCAGGATAATAGAAGATGTTTGTTTTTCTAAGTATCACTTAGACACTGTAGGGAAATTTTTCTAGACATATGCTAAGGAAAAAATATTCTCTCTCTCAAAACTAAAAATATCTCTCTACTACCAGCAGTTAAGTAGAAAAGATACTTACAGCTCCTTCTTGATCAACATCAGCTCCCATGGCCAATAAATGTTTTACACATTCCAAATGACCTTTTCGTGCAGCCCAAACCAAAGGGGTGGTTCCATACTATTAAAAGAAATAACAAATTTAAAATTATTATTGAAGATATATTAAGAGAAACTAAGCTCTCAACATGAATTTTGATAAAAATCACATTGAGTATTTTAGATTACGGTTTACACCAATCATAATTTTAAGCCTAGATGAATCATATTTTTCTCATTTCTCCCAAATAGATGGTTAACCACTGGATGAAATGTATTTTAACCAACTTTAACTTTTATAATCAGTGACAATTTTTCATCATAAAGTCATACAGCCTTTAATTTCCAACACACTTTCTTTGCTTCCTGTATCTTGTGACATATGAAGTGGAACAATCTTACTATAGTCAATAATAGTGACAGCTACGTGCCAAATACGGTTCTAACTAGCTGACATAGGTTAACTCGTGTAATCCTCATCACAAGATTAAGTAAAAATCACAATATTACATTTTAACAGATGAGCAAACAAGACCCCAAGAAGCTAATTACAGGCTCAATGTCACAAAGCTACTAAGAAGTAGAGCAAAATCCATGAACCCAACAAGCCTGGCTTCAGCCTGTGCTCTTCACCACCACCCTAGATTCCCCTCTATGCCTGATAAAATAAACATCAGCTGAGAAATGGCACTCAAAAGCACCTTCTGCTGCAACATGACTCAAAAGGCATCAGAGAATGTAAATCATGCATAAAAGCATGCTTTACATGCAATGCTTTACCTTTGGGGAGATTCACATGGCAATAAAAAGACACAAGAACACTTGCAGTGACATTTGACTACATAGGAGACTGCAGATTGACATGAATGCTTAATGAACGCCTACTTTTTATAACAGCCTTGACTAAGAGAACTTCTGTGCACTAATGGAGGTATGGGCAGTGAATACTGACGGTACAGAAGAAGAGGCATCCACACTGACTGGGTAAGTTAAGGAGACTTAGAGAAGATAACACTTCAACGGAGCCTTGAGAAAATACATAGGAGTTCATCAGGCAGAGGAGGTAGTAACATTCTTAACAGAGGGAAAAGAATAAACAAAGGGACACACTTCACAGAGTGGGAGACCATCTTCTGCATCCAAAAGTGCAGTGTATTTGGACAGCAATGTCAAGAAGTGAACCTGGGAAGAAACACTGGGGTCAAATTGAAAAATCTGGGCTTTGAAACCAATGATGCTAGAAAAGCTCTCCCAAAGCAAGAAAGAATGATATAATCAAACATTTCTCAAATATGTGGGTTGTGCTCAGTTGTGTTCAACTCTTTTGCCGACTCCATGCACTGTAAGGCTCTTCTGTCCGTAGAATCTTCCAAACGAGAAAACAAAACGAGTTTGCGAACTCCTCCTCCGGGAGATCTCCCCAACCTAGGGATCGAATCCGCATCTCTTGTGTTCCCTGTACCTGCACGCAGATTCTTTACCACTATTGCCATGTGAGAAGCCCTATTTGGGGTATTAAGGATTTTTTAAAAAGTGCATAGAACAAAATCCTGGGGAGCTTTCTGAACTGATGGCACATGAGCTGAGAGTGAAGGATGAATAGAAGTCCAAGAAGAGAAGGAGGAGAGGGCACTCCACATTGTGAAAGAGCACCTGCCAGGAACTCAGGAACCTGCATCATCTGACAGCCGAGCAAAGGTAGTCTGGGGTAGAGACAGCAGGAGAAAGGGAGGCAAAGACTATCTTTATGCATCATAACAGGGACTGACATCCTTAGGATTTTAAGTATGAGACAGAAAGAACAAAACTTAAATTTTAAAGACCATCTGGGGTTTCCCTGATGACTCAGTGGTGAAGAATCCACCTGCCAGTGAAGGAGACATGGGTTCGATCCCTGGCCCAGGAAGATAACACATGCTGTGGAGCGCCTACACCCGTGCACCACAGCTACCAAGTCCGTGCTCCACAACAAGAGAAGCCAACACAATGAGAAGTCCATGAGTCACAACACAGAGCAGCCCCCGCTCACCACAGATAGAGAAAGCTCACGAACATCAGTAAGACCCGGCACAGCCATAAATAAATTAATTAAAATTATTTTTTAAAAGATAATTTGGCAGTAACACAGAGAGGGTGATAGGACTCAAGACAGAAGAGCAACAACAGAAAATTTCAAATGAAGCTGGGGAATCAACTCTACTTTCCTGAGAATGATGAATGTGATATAAAAGACAATGGAAAGATACTGAGTACCAATTTGGGCTTCCCTGGTGGCTCAGACGGTAAAGAATCTGCCTGCAATGAAGGAGACCCAGGTTCCATCCCTGGGTCAGGAAGATCCCCTGGAGAAGGGAATGACAACCCACTCCACTATTCTTGTCTGGAGAATCTCATGGACAGAGGAGCCTGGCAGGCTACAGTTCATGGGGTCACAAAGAATCAGACACAACTGAGTGACTAACACTTTCAACACCTATAGGGAACCCATCTATGAGATGTATGCCTTTATAAGATATATTAATAAATACAAACATAAGATACATCAGTGCAGCCTCATAAGATCATATAAAAATCCTTGTAAGTCAGACACACTGAGTGGATACAACATGAACTGAACCTGGAAGATCCTGTTGACCTACCTTGTCGGAGCAGTTGACCTTGGCACCATTTTGCAGTAAAAGTTGCACTATATCAGCATGGCCTCTGCCTGCTGCCCAAATGATTGGGTAGACACTGTACTGCTGGGAGACAGACAGACGGGCGGGGAGGCAGACAGGGAGGGAGGGAAAGAAAAAGTCTTTTAGATTGATATCTATAGCACACATTTGCTAAGAAGAGTAAATAACACAATACAAGCAATACGAGCAATACAAGGTAATATTTTTTAAAAAGTCAAGTCACAGACCATTAAAAACACACATAAATCTCCTAATATGTAACTGGGAACTGAGATGTACTCAACCTTAAATAAATATATATTATGAACATATTTATTTTTATAGATTCAACACACTTAAGGTAATTATCTAGCCAACAGGTAAGACTAAGAAGAAGAATGTGAAACCTTTCTTTATAATCCTTCTATCAACTTGAATAAAACTGATTTTTTCCCAGCTGTATTAAGGCATAACTGACAAATAAAACTGTAAGGTATCTGAAGTGTACATGATGATCTGACATACATATGCACTGTGAAAGGAGTCCCCCATCAATAAAATGATTACTTAATCTGCAGTCAGAGCAAGCTTCAAGCAAAGCAGTAATGCATGTATTACAACCAATAAGAATATACAGAAAAGTGACATGAGTATTTGGTAAATGTCTCTCTTCTTTAAAAGAGCTTAAGTTAAGAATGCATACCCATAGAACACAGGCAAGATGACAAAAGGATTTCAAAATCTCCTTTTGAAACGTTATATAGCTGTAATTAACATTTAAGTTGCTTTTTTGTTGATAAAAATTGAGGAAAAAAGCTTGAGAAAAAAATTCCCATGTTTTGAAATCACATTCTGAATTATTATCTTTAGTAAAATTGAGATCATTTTATCCATTATGAAGTCCAAAGTACAACCAATCCTAAGTATTTCCTAAAAGAACTTACCACTTGTATTACAGATGAATTTTTTGTTAACGCTTACCAGACCAGTAACACTTGGATTGGCACCATGAGAAAGCAGCAGCTCAACCACTTCAGTACGGCCTTTATAACATGCCCACATAAGAGCCGTCCATCCTCCCTTCAGGGAAAAAAAGGGGGAGAGGAGGGAAATAAAACACTGGACTGTCTCCAAGCACAAAAATGTCATTAATGAAGCTTCTTTTGTGAACATTCCCTATAAAACCACTGTTTTAAGAAATCACTACTATGTAGTTCTAAATACCCAAGCTCCCCAGGGAAATACACAATCGTATCTGGACAAAGTCCAATCTCTTAAGTCCAGTAATGATTACGCCGAAGTCTGTATTATATTTTTGGAAATTGATATAGGGAACATTCATATTGGACTCTTCTAAATTTCCAAGATTTATTTTGGCTGTTTAAGTGTTTTTCTTCAGCAAACATGCTATGTCCCTAGATACTCTTCTCCTGGTGTGAGTCTAGATTTTTTTCCAGAGATGGATTCCAGCCATCCCATTCAACTCCTGCATCTAAACCCATCCTATAAATTCCAGATCGGTATTGTACCTCTTGCTAAGAGAGAGTATACATAGGCAATGATCTATAGATCATGATTTCCAGGGGCGAGCAAAGTCATTAAGTATGAATTAATGGCATGGTAACTTTCTATCTTCTAAGCTACAAAGCAACATTCTTTGTTTTAGCAGTGTTCTCTTTAGCTATCATGCGATTCAATAAAAGAGACAAATGTAATCAAATTATACTAAGAAGTGAATGTTCTGTTTGCTTAAAAAAAAAAGTCAGTATTTGGACCAATCCAAATTTGGATGCAAGAATATAAACCACTTAATCCTTTTGATTCTGTTTCATCATCACAAAAGAGGTAAAATAAAATAAGCTGCTCTAATCTGAAAAAGGCAAAACTACAGAAAGGGAAAACAGACAGTGGCAGCCACCGACCGGGAGTGGGTGGTTACAAATGAGCAGCATGGGGGTAGAGGTGAGGCCGTGGAACCGCTCTGCACAGAGCTACGGTGGGTGAATGACATCACAACCTGCCAAAACCCACAGAACTGAACGCCAGAGAGTGAATTTTATTGTATGTAAATCTTTAAAAAAGAACTAGAATGTAGGACAGACAGAATACAGATCAGGATGAATTAATTATATTACAAGTATATCACACAATTACTTAGAACCTGATCCAGGTAATGTCAAAAAGCAGTATTTTGAATTCTGTAATGCTACAGACAAAAAGAACTGTATACAAACACTGTATTTAGTAGCAAATCTGTTTCTCTCAGGGTATGGGTTAGAAATTCTGAAACTATTTGTTTACTAGAGTTGAACAAATAAGTAAATATTCTGTGTTGATAGTGAGAGCCAGATTTCTCACAGTCAGAAAGAGTGTTACAAATTAAGAAAATGGGAAAGGCTTACTGTAGACTGGGTTCACAGTTATCAACTAAGTCTTTTCATTTAAAAAAAATACACCCACACACATCAACTGAGTCTCTTTATTAATATATATATATATACACACACACACACAGAGATATTACAGAATAGACGTATGTGACACATATGCAAAAGTTAATATACACATATGTATTTTCTACATCTATACACTGAGGAGGACAAGAAGCAGAGACATTCCAGTAGCAATAAGTACACCTGACATCTAGATTATTGGTTTCTAAATATCACTTTAGAATATCAAGAACTAGGGCCCCTTTGTAAACTGATTGATTCCAAGAGGGAGAATCACGGAAATAAGGCAGGGAAAATATAAGATGAACCTGAGCCTGAAGCATTTTGTAATGCAAGAAAGTGAAAGTGAAAGTCGCTTGGTCGTGTCTGATTCTTTGCGACACCAGACACTACAGTCCTTGGAATTCTTCAGGCCAGAATATTGGAGTGAGTAGCCTTTCCCTTCCCCAGGGGATCTTCCCAATCCAGGGATCGAACCCAGGTTTCCCACGTTGCAGGTGGATTCTTTATCACGGAGCCACAAGGTTAGTCCAAGAATACTGGAGTGGGTAACCTATCCCTTCTCCAGCAGATCTTCCCAACCCAGGAATCGAACCAGGGTCTCCTGCATTGCAGACAGATTCTGTACCAACTGAGCTATCAGGGAAAGGAAATGCTAAAATATATATCTACACACAGATATTTATTTAGAGAGACAGAGAGAACTCTTCTTTAATTTCAATTACTAAATGTAGTGGAATTATGAAAATAGAAAAATCACCTAATATTAATTCACCTGATAAACTGGTATGGTGCTTTTAATAAAATATTGGGAACTAGGTAATTCCATGAATTTCTCTTCTACTTTACATGCCAATAAGATAAGAACACTACATTTTCCTCCTGCCTGTCAGGTATCCATCCTTTGCCTAGGTTACTGACATCATCACCTTCTCTCCCTAAACTTTTATAGCGATGTACTTCCATTTCTTTTCAGCAAAAGGAAGGATACAAATAGTTCTGTATCTTTCTATAAAAATAAGTATACCATTACTTCACTGAGTTTTGAGAGTAAGTGTAATACTGTAGAAGCAAGAACACTGTATAAATTATATTGTACAGTATAATATTAAGTGCAAGGAGGTGGAATGCTGAAGTTTCTTAAAAATTCAGACCACCTGTACTTAAAGCATCATCAGCAAAGTAATACATGTTTTATCAAGGCAGTTCAATTTCAACATTTTGTAGAATAAGAAGCCTTCATGATCCTTTTCTTCACATTTATGCTTTAGGCACATGCCAAGATCAAATAAGAGCTAAGATGATTAAGAATCAGATCTTGAGAAACTTGTAATGTGTACAGAGGGAATATCTGAACAGTTACTTTTTAAAATAAACTTATAAATATTATTCTGAATATCATAACTTTAAGCACTGAAAATATTTTCAAAACTATACTATGTCCCTCTTAAAGTTCTCCTTAAAGAAAACAATTCTCTCATTGATACATTATAAAGAGTAATGTGTTGTCTTAACAGTATTTCAGAATTTTAAACTCTGAAAAAAAACAGAAAATGTGATTAAGAGTATTCTAAGGAGGTACATTATCTCACCAGGGTTTTAAAGCATTCTTGATGGTCATTTCAATGCCTAACCCTAAAAACGTCATCTGACACACAAAAATACAAGACTTTACAAATATCTATTACTGTTAATAAGACTCCAGCTGATTAACAACTGTAAAGAGTATCCATACCATATCCCGGTGCTCCAAGTTAGCCCCACACTTGAGCAGTTCTTCTACAATGTGCAGGTGCCCTTCTTTTGAGGCTGATATAAGCGCTGTCCAGTTATCCTTGAATATACAGACACAAATGTTATCATTTCAAAACAAAACATAACATTCCAAAGTCAGGTAAATTTGAATTTACATACCAGAAGATCATACCAAATTGACATGATCTGACACACTCTAAGCTACTCTGAAATAACTCTGAAGCATAAGCTCTGTTAAGAATTTATCTCGCTACCTATATGACTATAATGATGCAGAAATGGCTTCACAACTCTTGTGCAGTCTTTTCATTGGACTTTTAATCACTGTGTTTTTTAACAAGGAGAAAAAATGAGTATCAAAACCTCAAAGCTAATCTGTGTGGCTACAACCATTATTATAAATTGAAATTCAAAAGCCTGTAATCAAATAAAAAAGCATATTTACAAACCATTAAACTAAAGCCATCCCATGTGATATGCTCAAACTATGGGATAAAGGACTGTTCTCCTTTATTTTTTAAAGGCTGCAAGTATCCTATCCTTTTATTCACATGTACTGTCATTTAATTCAAATGATCATTCAATTACAATCACCAATTTAGTATTATCAATTTGAATTATAAAGACAAACAGAAAAACAGATGTGGCTATGTGACCCTGAAAAATAATTCCTCAGAAACAGAGAAGTAAGCCTCTCAAATAGTGATTTATCCTTCACAAATGGTATCAGAAGGGACCACATCTTTCTGACTTATCCTAGATAATGATGTTTCTAATAAGAAGATACCATTATGGGGAGTTACTTAGCAGTATGACTCTTACATGGATATCTCTAGGCAGGCATTTAATTTTGAGTGTGTGTATATGTGTGCATGCTTAGTCACTCAGTCGTGTCCAACTTCTTGCAACCCTATGGACTGTAGCCCACCTGGTTCCTCTGTCCATGGGATTTTTCAGGCAAGAATACTGGAGTGGCTACATGTGCTCCTTATTCAGTGAGTGCTATCTATACATTAAAAAATATACAAAGAGCTGAGACTTATCAATGAAGGTAAAAATTTCCCTCCTATAATAAATGCCCTTTTTAAAAAATTGAATTAGCATATTACTGAGCAACGTTGATACACAGCAGAATTACAATCTGTAATCTATGGCTTCTGAATCACTTCTTAAAACCAAGCAACAAAGTTAAAGAAAAGAAAAAGGCAAATGAGTAAATCAATACATACCAAATCTTCCAGATTGCAATTAGCGCCATTCTTAATTAATTCTTTCACTATTTCCAGATTGCCTTGTTCAGCAGCTATCATCAATGGAGTCTGGCCACACTACAGACAGAAGAGACACAGAGAACATCCAGGATGCTGCATGTTAGTTAACACACCAGTTAAATATACCACCCATACATTTCCATGACGTTCAGCTCTATTTACAGCACTTAATTTAGAAACACCTCTGAATTCAAGTTTTCAGTTTACTAATAATATGAAAGTCCAAGAGAAAATGCTTTTTTTTTTTTTACAATAGCATTCATAATCTGTTTTGGGCACTGCAATTTTATTCAAAATAAGCAACATATATAATACTAGGCACTGAAAAGCAATTTCCACAATTTATACAATAATCTCAGAATATCTATGGCAACCAAATCCTCTAACAATACAGCTAGAATATGATACACAATGTGGTTTTGCTGTATGTATAACATGTTTTTATCAGGACCAGAGGAAGAAAACTAAAACAGTAAAAACAATACAGGTGCTCCAATATCATGGAGTTTTTTGAAGCCTTCCCTTATAACCTTAACTCATTACACTAAAGTTCCTACTAGCTACAGCAGTGCCGTCCAGCCTGTCCCCAGAATGAGTCACGGCAGTAAGACACGGGCTCCAGCAGCCCTGAGACCATGGGGCAGGGCCTGGGCAGCTGGATCCTGGGACAGGTTCCCTCCAGCTGTCAGCTTCGTCTATCCCAAGTCCGGGATGCACACTGTCATTTTCTGTACATGCCATGACATGAGACAGACCAGAAGCTCTGGGCTAACAGTGACAGTACTAAAGGTGCCAAAACATACCAAGGTATAAAGAAAAAAATTACATCAAAACCTGAGTTCCATTTGATAGATTAAGCACCTATTTACTGAATGTGTATCAATGTGCAGGAAAACATCAGTTATTTTTTTAAATGCTAATCTGACAATATCCCACTGCTTAAAATCCTTAATGGTTTCCTAGGCTCTTCTGGATAAGAACCAAAGTCCTTACATGGCCTGTGGTCCATGAAAATCTATCTTGAAACCTGTGCCAGGCCATTTCCTCCTCACACTTGTGCCCTCAAACTGTACGCAAGCTCTTTCCCACCTCTATATCCCTCTATCCCACCCAATTAACTATTTCCCACCTGGCATCTCTTGGGTCAAACACCAACTCCACAGGGAAGCCTTGCTAACCCGCTCTAATGTCATGTACCATGCTAATCCTTATTTGTACTTACACTTTATTTGCATGGTGAACAACTGTTATTGTATTTCCTCTAAAGGCCCTAAATTCCCCAAGGGTGGGAAGCATGTCTGTTTTGTTGAATACTGAAACTCCCCCATAAGGCGCAGTGACTGCCACACAGGTGTTCACATATCTGTTGAGTAAAAGAGTGAGCAAAGTCCAGAAGAATTTACAAATCTACTAATGGCAACATATGAACAAGCAAATAATCCTAGTAACAACACATGTTACTGTAAGATATAAGTAAAGAGAAACACAAAGACTGAGTTAAGGCACGCAAGTAAATCGAGTTACAGACACTCATATAATGATGGATGCTAAATTACATGTGGCAGTCACATGTCATTCAACCAGAGTCATTAGAGAATGAGACATTATGCATAAGTAGATTTTCCAGGTGAAAAGTTTATCCTTTAAATATTATATTTGATTACAACTTTATGATAACTTTTTTCTTAACGTAACGTGCACATTGCTACTTGTTAAACAGATTAACTTAACCATTATGTTTATGATTCTGAGTCATAACTACAGACATCAATCATTATACAAGGCTTGCCTCTGTCAGCGCTATTGTCTCTGACTTCCTTTCTACAGCATGTTTCTGCCTTCTAATCAACTGGGATAAAAAAAATGAAATATCAAAGTCACTGGTATAATATATATATTAAAGCCAACTAGGTGAATCTATGTCCCTAAGGATATAGAATGACCTCTGTTCGTTTTCAAGGCAAACCATTCAATGTCACGATAATCCAAGTCTATGCCCCGACCTGTAATGCTGAAGAAGCTGAAGTTGAACGGTTCTATGAAGATCTACAAGACCTTTTAGAACTAACACCCAAAAAAGATATCCTTTTCATTAGAGGGGACTGAAATGCAAAAGTAGGAAGTCAAGAAACACCTGGAGTAACAGGCAAATCTGGCCTTGAAGTACAGAATGAAGCAGGGTAAAGGCTAATAGAGTTTTGCCAAGAGAACGCACTGGTCATAGCAAACACCATCTTCCGACAACACAAGAGAAGACTCTACACGTGGACATCACCAGATGGTCAACACCGAAATCAGACTGATTATATTTGCAGCCAAAGATGGAGAAGCTCTGTACAGTCAGCAAAAACAAGACTGGGAGCTGACTGTGGCTCAGATCATGAACTCCTTATTGCCAAATTCAGACTTAAATTGAAGAAGGTGGGGAAAACCACTAGACCATTCAGGTATGACCTAAATCAAATCCCTTATGATTATACACTGGAAGTGAGAAATAGATTTAAGGGACTAGATCTGATAGAGTTCCTGATGAACTACAGAAGGAGGTTAGTGACACTGTACAGGAGACAGGGATCAAGACCATCCCCAAGAAAAAGAAATGCAAAAAGGCAAAATGGCTGTCTGAGGAGGCCTTACAAATAGCTGTGAAAAGAAGAGAAGCAAAAAGCAAAGGAGAAAAGGAAAGATATTCCCATTTGAATGGAGAGTTCCAAAGAATAGCTAAGAGAGATAAGAAAGCTTTCCTCAGCGATCAATGCAAAGAAATAGAGGAAAACAACAGAATGGGAAAGACTAGAGAGCTCTTCAAGAAAATTAGAGATACCAAGGGAACATTTCATACAAAGATGGGCTCAATAAAGGACAGAAATGGTATGGATATAACAGAAGCAGAACATATTAAGAAGAGGTGGCAAGAATACACAGAAGAACTACACAAAAAAGATCTTCACGATCCAGATAATCATGATGGTGTGATCACTCACCTAGAGCCAGACATCCTGGAATATGAAGTCAAGTGGGCCTTAAAGAAGTATCACTATGAACAAAGCTAGTGGAGGTGATGGAATTCCAGTTGAGCTATTTCAAATCCTAAAAGATGATGCTGTGAAAGTACTGCATTAAATATGCCAACAAATTTGGATATTTCAGCAGTGGCCACAGGACTACAAAAGGTCAGTTTTCATTCCAATCCCAAAGAAAGGCAATGCCAAAGAATGCTTAAACTACTGCACAACTGCACTCATATCACACACTAGTGAAGTAATGCTTAAAATTCTCCAAGCCAGGCTTCAGCAATATGTGAACCATGAACTTCCAAATACTCAAGCTGGTTTTAGAAAAGGCAAAGGAACCAGAGATCAAATTGCTAACATCCACTGAATCATCAAAAAGGCAAGAGAGTTCCAGAAAAACATCTATCTCTGCTTTATTGACTATGCCAAAGCCTTTGACTGTGTGGATCACAATAAACTGTGGAAAATTCTGAAAGAGATGGGAATACAAGACCACCTGACCTGCCTCTTGAGAAACCTGTATGCAGGTCAGGAAGCAACAGTTCGAACTGGACATGGAACAACAGACTGGTTCCAAATAGGAAAAGGAGTACATCAAGGCTGTACATTGTCACCCTGCTTATTTAACTTATATGCAGAGTACATCATGAGAAACGCTGGGCTGGAGGAAGCACAAGCTGGAATCAAGACTGCAGGGAGAAATATCAATAACCTCAGATATGCAGATGACACCACCCTTATGGCAGAAAGTGAAGAAGAACTAAAGAGCCTCTTGATAAAAGTGAAAGAGGAGAGTGAAAAAGTTGGCTTAAAACTTAACATTCAGAAAACTAAGATCATGGCATCCGGTCCCATCACTTCATGGCAAATAGATGGGGAAACAGTGGCTGACTTTTTATTTTTCTGGGCTCCAAAATCACTGCAGATGGTGACTGCAGCCATGAAATTAAAAGACGCTTACTCCTTGGAAGGATAGTTATGACCAACCTAGACAGCATATGAACAAGCAGAGACATTACTTTGTCAACAAAGGTGTGTCTAGTCAAGGCTATAGTTTTTCCAGTGGCCTGTATGGAGGTGAGAGTTGGACTATAAACAAAGCTTAGCGCCAAAGAATTGACGATTTTGAACTGTGGTGTTGAAGAAGACTCTTGAGAGTCCCTTGGACTGCAAGGAGATCCAACCAGTCCATCCTAAAGTAGATCAGTCCTGGGTGCTCACTGGAAGGACTGATGCTGAAGGTGAAACTCCAGTACTTTGGCCACCTGATGCGAAAAGGTGACTCTTTTGAAAAGACCCTGATGCTGGGAAAGACTGAGGGCGGGAGGAGAAGGGGATGACAGAGGATGATGGTTGGTTGGCATCACCAACTCAATGGACATGAGTCTGGGTAAACTCCAGGAGTTGGTGATAGTCAGGGAGGCCTGGTGTGCTGCAGTTCATGGGGTTGCAAAGAGTCAGACACGACTGAGCGACTGAACTGAAGGATATAGGACTTGCACATCAGTTTTTAAAACTGCAATTCCAAAGACTCGGGTGCTTTCTGTTCACCTTCTGTGGTCACAGGCACATTTCAGATAGTTTGCAAAGAAAGGTGCTTTTAGAGTATGAGGGAAAAAATTAATTAGATGTGTATTAAAAAAACATAATACAAAAGAAAGTGAGTATAAATGTGATTAACTAGAAACAAGCTAAATGAGACTTGAACAGTCATAAATTTCTCTTGCAGAAACTACCATTTGTCTACCCAGTATCCAGAGCAACAGGATTTTGTTCAGGGTGGCAGTCTGCTCAGCGAAAAAAACCTACATTGTTCGGCCTTACTTGCAGTTGGAAACCATCCATGCTACCACTCTAGTGAGATCTCCTGGGAAAGCTTGATAATTAGACCAACTCAGCTGGCCTGTGCCCTTTTCCTTCTTGCCTGATATGTGGACACAATGCTGCAGTTGTATCAAGACTGATGATGGGAAAAACTGGCACGCACAGGAGTGGCCAGAAGGGCAGAAGGAGCCTGGGAAGATATCCTGAGACCATTATACCAACTTCGGAATGACTCCTCCAGCTTGTCATTACATGAGAAAAGTAAGATCTTAATTTGATTAAGCCACTATTTGGGGAGTTGTTATATGCACTCAAAAGCAATCCTTAACCTTTTATAGCTTCATTATCCAAATAAATAAGTGATTCTCAGGAAAGGCTGCCATAAGTTTTATTAATCTGAAAATACAGAATGATATTTACCTAGTAAGTTATGCCTTATGACAATACATATTTATTCTATTAGTTCTGGTTTAAGCCATCTAGTAACTACAGTTGTAGAGACAGTGACTCAGAAACAAACAGTCATGACAACTTGATTCTTTTACTTCAATGTGAATCACTAAAGGCCCCTTCCCTACCTAACCCACCACACACATCTCAGCAAATGTCAAGTCCATTTCTTTCCCAAAAAATACAGGATCACATAACTCATAGAACCCCTACTCTACTGGTAAGAACCTCAAACCAAAACACACCAAAACAGAACACCGCCATGCCAACTGAAGTTCCCCACAGCAGGTACCATGCTTTATCTCAGCTTCCCAGAAGCTACAATGCAAAAACACCTCCTATTCAGCATCTTTTTGGTCTTCCCAGTTCCTGGGTCATCCCACTTGTATTCAGGTGTGCTGTGCTGTGCTCAGTCACCCAGTCATGTCCAGCTCTCTGCGACCCCGTGACTATATGTAGCCCGCCAGGCTCCTCTGTCCATGGGGATTCTTCAGGCAAGAATGCTGGAGTGGGTTGCCATGCCCTCCTCTAGGGCATCTTCCCAATCCAGGGATCGAACCCAGGTCTCCCACACTGCAGGGAGATTCTTGACTGTCTGAGCCACCTTACTGGACCTAAATAACTATTGCCTTTTAAAGCAGTGGCATTCTGAGGATAGCTACTTCTTCCAGTAATTATAGTGAAAGTAAAACATTTTTAAATTCTCCTTTGAACTTTACTTCAGGGTCTCTACTTGTAAGCACATGACAAAATTCATCTCTTGAACTTGAGTCCCATTTCACTTTCTTCAACAGGAGAATAACGTTCAACCTCAACACTATACCCCTGTATCAAGAAGAGCTGATAGTGACTTTTTGCTCTTTTCAAAAATAACGTTAAATTAAAGCCCTTCACTACTCTACAAAAGGCAAAGACCTGCCATCACAGACAATATTCATACAAAGGGCAAAGACCTGCCATCACTGACAATATTCAGAGGCCAAGAATTTTATCTAGTTTACAAATAAAGCAGAAAGGAAAGAAGGGAGAAAACCGGTATTTACTAATTGCAACCAATTATATGCTAAGGACAACAAGAGGCAATTTCCCCCACATTATTTTCTTTTATTGATAACATTCAAGAAACCTTTAGAAAACTGATAACCAAACACATTAAATGAGGTAATTACGTACTTCACTCTTTAAAGGTGAGAAATAAGGAAAGAAAGTTTAAGCAACTCTTTAGAATTCAATAAAAATTAAATTTTATCAGAAGCAGTAGAAGCAAAATGCTAAAAAACAAAAAAAAAGGCCTTGAAAAAGTTATTTTCTCTATAACCTTCACAGTGAGCCATAATTTAACAATGCCAGGTTGTTTCAAAGTATTATTTTAAAACTCCAATTTTAACTGACATAATACTAAACTAGAGGTAAATTATCATTAAAATTCCTTAAATGCCACTGCATGCCTGATAACATTTTAAGTTTTTTACCAAATACACTTTATTCTTTGTGTGAATAAGATCAATATAATTTTGTGCTTATTGTGTATTATTTTTCTCCTTCCAAGTGAAGCTATTTTCTCAATATTCCCGAAGCAAGTATCTAAGAAGTAAAGCTTAACTTTTTAAACTATCATTTTATTATTCCAAACATACTAATGCCAATAGAATGACTACTTCAATAAGCAGCTCTTTTAAAACAATGAACAATCTCCAATTGTAAATTTTATCTCATTTATGTGTAACAACTGTTAACTATTCATAATCATAGAAAAGAATAATGATGTAAACTAACCAAAATACAGTTTGTGCAATATATAAATATTGAAAATACAGACATCATCATTAGATGAACTTATTCTGAAGACTCAAGGAAGACAAAAGGGCATAAACAAATCATAGCCTGTTTGATGTTAAGACAGAATAGCATTCAATGTGGATTTCACCAGGAATTATCTTCAGGCGGAATCTGAGAGATTAAGTCGTTTATTTGCAAGTTGAGATAAGTTAGTATAATTCTTTACAGCACTGCTATGCAAATTAAATGAGCTAAGTATACAGTTCCATTACCATATTTACATAAATACTGAATAAAACATGAGTTATCATAATTGAATTGCTCTAATAAAATTTTCATACCATTTTTCAATGACTGCTAATATTTTAAAAAATTAGGTACTCTGTCAATAATAATAATAATGTAATAACTGTTGATTCAGTAGCTTTGAAAACATTTATAATATTTGCATACCCATGTTCATGCAGCACTATCCACAACAGCCAAGAAAAGGAAACAACCTGAATGTCTATCAGTGGATAAATGTATAAACACAACATGGTATCTACATATGAAAGTGAAAGTCACTCAGTCACGTCCAACTCTTTGCAACCCCACAGACTATACAGTTCATGGAATTCTCCAGGCCAGACTATTGGAATGGGTAGCCCTTCCCTTCTCCTGAGGATCTTCCCAACCAAGGGATCAAACCCAGGTCTTCCACAATGCAGGCAGATTCTTTACAAAATGAGCTATCAGGGAAGCCCTTCTACATATAATGGAATAGTATTCAGCTTTAATATGGAAGGAAATCATGTCACACGCTCCAACATGGATGAACCAACATGTCATTTAGGATGTTATACTAAATGAAATAAGTGAAAGTCACTCAGATGTGTCCAATTCTTTGCAACCCCATGAATCGCAGCATGCCAGGCCTCCCTAGTTTATTAGTCCCTAAAATGTTGCAGCTCAGCTGTTCACAATAAAATTACCATTTATCTGCTAGGATTGTTGAACAGAAATATCTAATACAAGTTAATGAAAACAATAAATATTTACTCCCCAATCTTAGTAAATAGAACACACAACCTATTTAGCTGTCTCTTAAAGATGCAGGCCTTTAAAATCCCAAGGTGTGTATAACAAACAACTAAGGAAGATAGCTGAGGGTCCAATAAAGAAAATATTTCAAAAAGCCCTAATAGTGTCTGGTTAATCTATTTTTTCTCATTCATCTTTTATAAAAAGATTGGGATTAGAAGCCCCTCTAAAGTTTTCTAGAAATACTTCTGATTTCGGTAATAATTCTTGAATCATTCTTCAATAGTGATTATTCTATCTGGGAAAAAAAGTCAACCACAATTCTCAATCAAAAATCTAAATCATTAATTCAATGCTCAGTCATTTATAGAAGTTCAGGTATATTTCAAAGGTACAGAATTCAAAGTACTTTTAACTGTGAGAAGTTATGTCAATATTACTGAGGATGAGAACTATGTATTTCTTACTTACCTTTACACTTTTAGCACAGTGCCTTACACTTACTTAGTACGTAGTCCACAAACATTTGTAAAAAGAATTAAACTTTAGAAACTTGGTCTTACCTCATTTCTCTCATCAACATCTTTGCATTTCTCAAGAAGAGCTTTCAAAGCAGGAATGTTTTCTTCTTCTACATAATTTATTACACTCTGTGATATTAGAACTGACATTTTCACAGAAAGCTATAGTTTTCTTTACTCCAATACCTGTTAAAGCAGATTAGACAAAATACATGTAATTTTGGATTGGGGAAAAAAAAGATACTACTAACTATATCTTTCCTAACCTTAGGCTTGTACAAATACACCTCCACTGGCAGGAATGAAAACAAAGCCCCGAAGCTCAGCTGTCAAAATGTCCAACCCCCTCTTCCCAAGACTCAAACTCATTTCACTCTTAACTCACTATTGTTCTTCAGTCACTAAGCTGTGTCCAACTCTGCAACTCCATGAACTGCAGCACACCAGGCTTCCCTGCCTTAACTCATCCACACCCCCAAACTCCAAATCCATCCCCCAAACCCACCCCTCATCACCCACAAACAAGAGAAAGCACTCCACCGTTCCCCCTGCTATATAATCCCAATCAGTCAATGGCCACTCCAACTCCATCCTTCTAAGGCCAAAACCTTGGAATTATGAATGACTCATCACCTCCTCTTATACTCTACATTCAATCTACGAGCAAACTTTTCGGTTCTACTTATAAAATATATTTCACATCTTGATTCCTACTCACCACCTCCATCACAACCACCCTGGCCCAGCCACTGTGACCTCTCACCTAGATCCCAACTGCTCTCCCTACCTCCCTTTTGCCTTTCTGATGGTCTGTGCTCCACAAGGCAACCACAGATACCTTTTGAAAATGTAAGCTGGGCCAGAGCTTCTTAAATCATTATATTCATCAGAATCACCTGAAGAGCTTGTGAAACAGATGCCTGGGCCCTTCCCTCGGAGATTCTGACAAGTAGGTCCAGGTACAGCCCTGGCACCTTTAACAAGCTCCCAGGTGGTGCTACCACTGTGGTTGCTGACCGAAGAACCACACCTTAAGCAGTACTGAGTCAGATTGCATCCTTCCTTGCTCAAAGTCCTCCAGTGGCTTCCCAGAGCCCTCAAGGTAAAAATCGAATGTTTGACCTTGGTCTAGATGAGTGTAAGTGAGAGGGTGTTAACACTGCTGACCTCATCTCCTACCCCTCTCCCTCACCACGTCACTGCTTGAACATGCCAAGCACTGTGCCATTTCCAGGCCTCTGGCGAGTTTTTCTGTCTAAATTCCTCCTCCACCAGACCTGCACACATAGGCCTCTCCCACATGAAATTAATATGAATATAATTACAGAGACCATGTGCACCCTAACTTTTCATTTTACACCTAGTGAATCTGGTTAATGCATAGAAGAGAGTTCTTTGTACTTTTTGCAATACTTTGTAAACACACACACACATATGTCTGACAAGTCCTTCTTTGGATCAAATTTTTTTTTTCAGCACAAAATCCCACAAGACTAGAATGAGTAAAGAAAAGTAGTAACAGACATTGACCAATTATTTTAAAAATTGAAAATCTTAGATTTTCAAATCTTACCTCTCTCCCCAGTCCATTATGTGGATTATATGTATATCACCTTAAGACATATAAAACTTAACAGTCATCAATCATAGACAGTGACTTAGATTAAGACATAGATTCCTTCAGACTAAGATTAAGTAGAAAATGGTAATAAAATTTTTTATAAAACCAACTTAGAAATTGAAGCTGCACACATTAAGCTACCAGAAAGATACTCTTTAAACAAATCTCGTAAGGAAAAATGATCTTTGTTATATAATTCTGAGAAAATGCATGCAATTCTACACTGCTGTAATTGAGTAACAGTCCGATCTAACAGTAGTCTGCTGAAAGGTTATGATCTGCAATGCACTGTGCTTCAGGTTATCACTGGTAAGTTGAACAATACACTATTCCTGCCCTGGAGAGTCTCGGCGCTCTTTAAAATACTGGAGGAGAAAAGGGGTATTGGGGTAAGAAACAGCCAAAATAAAACTGGTAAAATGCTGATAACTGTTGGCTGGACTTGGGGGATGGTTAAGTGAGGGTTCATTAGCTCAGGGGTTCCTCACCCCCATACTGGGGCCTGTTGGGAACCAGGCCACACAGCAGGAGGTGAGCAAAGGAAGCTTCATCTGTACTTGAGGCCACTCCCCAGCACTGGCATTACCACTTGAGCTCCACCTCCTGTCAGATCAGGGGCAGCATCAGATCCTCACAGGAGCATGAACCCTATTGTGAACCATGCTCACGAGGGATCTAGGTTGTGGGCTCCCTATGAGAGTCATCCTGAAACCGCCCCCCACCCCCTGGGTCTGTGGAAAATCTGTCTTCCATGAAACTGGTCCCTGGTGCCAAAAAGGTCGGGGAGCGCTGCATTAGATGCTGCTCTGTTTTGTGTATTGGGGGGGGGGGGGCAGATACTAGAGCAGACCTTACAGATCGTTGAACATCACATGCCTGAAATCTGGCAATCTCTGCATTCTCCACCTGTCGCTTCTTTACTGTTAAATTTCTTAATGGAAGCAACTCACCTTCACAAATTCAGAAGTACCTAAAACAGTTTCTTGTGCATATTAAAAGAACTGATAAATGTTGTCTGAACTGAATTTGATCAAGTCACATCACATTTTATTAACTGAACAGGACAAAACCATCTGCCACAGCTGACAGTTATAAAATGACTCCCATCAGCCAGACTTCTAACAAATCAAGAGTTTGATCGCAAGTGTGCCCATAAATCAGATGATGTTCTTGGAAGGGCCCCATCCCTCCCTCAGAGGTTTCTTTCAGCTCTGCTTTCCCTCTTAAATGAATCCTTTAAACAGGTTCTATTATCACCTATCTCAAAACACACACACACACACGAATCCTTTAAACAGGTTCTAGTCTCACCCATCTCAAATACACACTATTCTCACCTATCTCAAAACAGACACACACACACCCCCATTCTTCACGAGAGCGCGCGCGCACTCTCTCTCTCTCTCTCTCTCTCTCTCTCTCTCTCTCCATATGAGAGCATCCTCAGAGATTACCTGTCAGCTTCAAACCATTCTCCCCTTCAGTTGAGAAAACCAGGATCTTCCCCTCATCCAGACAAACTCGTTTGCCCAACTCATCCCCCCACCCCCACCCCCACAGCCCAGAGACAGCCTAGAAGTCTCAATTTCAAAGTCCCTTCCCCCAGGGAGGTCTCCCTGACCACCCACCCTCCTCCCAGACCAGCTTAGGGCCTGCTCTGCTCGCTCCTTCCTTTCTCTACTACCATCAGCCACATCCAGGAATGAGCATATGAGGACATGTGACTGTTCAAAAAGATAAGCTTAGCCAATCAGATTCCTCTCTCTAAACCTGGAAATTAGAAACCAGATACCCAGTCATTACAGGCCAAGAACAAAATGTTACAGTTTTCAGGCAGCCAGGCAGCAGAGAGAGGACTCCACAGATATGAACGGAGAAAAAGACTTCTCCAGAGAAAACAAATGAGGCCCCTGAGAGAGCTACAGAAGGTGGCAGCTGCTTTAGATCCCAATTTCTTGCTGATTCTCAGTCAGTCCTATAAACTACCTTTTCCCTGAGGTAAAAGAGTGAATCACTGTTCCCTGCCTTCTAAACAGCCCTAACACAGTAACAGAGAAAGGTGACAAAGAACTTGAGCAAAAGCAGGGAAGAGGGGGATGGACACTCACATGATCCCAGGAAAAGCTTCCCCCAGTACTGTGTGCCATCCTGAATCAGAACCCTAGAGACAGACAGTCAGGGAACCACCAAAACAGCCTATGGGAGAGGGGAAAGGCGCTAGGGATGGAGAAGAAATGAGAGACAGGAACTTGATCAGGATAAAATCCCCCATACTGGACCCTTCGACCTACTGAAATATCTAGAACAAAGATTCTGGATGTAGAAATTTTAAAAATTATGTGATCTGAAATGAAAGACCAGATCAAAGATGACTAGATACCAAACACCGGTGATGGGAAGATGGCAGTCCCATAAACAAAAAATAAAGCAAAGTCAGGAGAAAGTTTCAGGATTTTCCTCTGCTTGGTTACTGCCCACTCCTTCCCCACCACCCTTGCTAGGTGAACAAGACCAGGCTGAATGTGAGGTGCTCCAAAAAACCTCAGTTGGAGAATCCACCCAGGATTAGGAAAAACAAATCTGGAAATCACTCAGAGTGTAAAACAAAGGTTCTCAAACTTGTATGCAAAGTTGCTGGGGAAGCTTGCCAATATACATATTCCTTCGGCTTTTCCCCCAGTAGATCTGGGGCCCAGAAACTGAGATTTTAACAAGTACCGCAAAATGATTCCGATGAAGGTTTCCATGCTGGTAAAGCTAGAGAACAAAGAACACAACCTTGCCGCCGCACTTCTCAACCTTGGCTCTGCATCAGATCTCCTCAGGCGCTTTAAAAAAAAAAATTTAGACGTCTCAACCTCAGTGTTGTCCAAGTTGAGGGAGTGACAAAACGCATTATAATTACCGTCGGGAGGTGGAGATGGGGGGTGGGAATCCTGAGCCACACCCCAGGTCTGCTGAATGGGAATTCTGAGGGTAAGGCTGAGAAAGCCACATTTTTAACCGGTGCCCCTAGCGGCTACCAAAGACGGCTCCATAGTTTTTAAAAAAGAGGTTTAAATAATAATAGGTTTAAACCTTTCTATATGTCAAAACAATCTGAAAGAAAACTAACTGAACGTCAGTGGCTGACAAAAAAGTCGCTTCGCTGTAAAGAAATCACAGAAGCATCGTAATCAATGGCTCGCTGATACTTAGCTGAAATAACGGCCTGCAGTGGACAATGGAGTAATGGAGCCTGGTGAGAAAACAAAAAGCGAGAAAACCCAACCACCACGCCCTTGGAAAGCCCAGGGAAAGGAACCTGGGACGCCTGCCTTCGCGCGACCGGCCAAGGTGGTTCTGGAGGTGGTGGTGGGTGTGCCTGCGGCTGCCCCGTAAAAAACAAACGAACCAAAAAAAAAAAAAAAAAAAAACCAACCCACCGGTGTCACACACATCCCCCATCGCAGCCCCCGAAGAGGCTGACCACCTGGGACAGCAAGTCCGAGACCGTCCTAGGGCCCCCGGCAGGTGCGGACGCGCCCCA